TTTTAATAGATCATTGACCCGTCAATCAGACTCTGACCATTTCAGAGATAAAAAGCCAGGCTTTCATTGGCTATTATGAATAGAGCACCTTTCCTCAAATTAAGAAATGGTGTAATAATTAACAGGTATAATGGATATGTGCATTCAGGTTTCAGTTATATCTTTATGAGCTTTAGCTCCTGTTATCTTTGGTGTAGTTAACCCCCTGTCTACCCACAGATAATTTAACTACAGTATAAAGATGGATTTGTTTTGTGACAGTGGCATTTTGCTAATATGATTGATAGGTTTTTTGCTCAGTTCTTATGATCTGTAATAAGAGGTGTTCTCTCAAACTCTTTCTGTAAAACAAGGCACAGAACTTCACTAACAAAACTCATTAACAATACTATTCTAAAGAAGCATGGCAAAGACTCTTTAAAAAAATTTGTATGCAGACAATTTACCCAAACTTTATTTTTTTCTGATTTACAGTCTTAAGTGATTATAAGTACTGATGGTTCCTGGTACTGGAGTTTGGTGTCTTTAACCTAAAAAGTCGCTTGGAAATTGCCAAAGCAGGTCATTTGATAGTGGACTCATCAGGTGAACCAGGAAGTAGGCAGAGGCCACTTACCATTCCTAAGCTCTAAATATCTTAATAAAAAGAAAAAATTTAGTCTTTGAAAAGATAAATTATATTTTAGTTGCAGAAATTCATTAAATACAATCAAGATTCAATTGCTTTGATGTAATGTACTTGCACTGCAAAATTTGAATCGGGAAAGAAAATCTGAAGTTTAGAGAAATTGTGGAACTGGAAGGTTAAGGAAAACTTTCTGAATTTATGTATTACTTTTATTAATCTTTAAACATGACAAAAACCAAAAGAGAAGTGATAGCTAAAATGAAAGGCTGATAAAACACTATAGTAACTGAAAGTTTACCAGGTATAGAAGTTATTTTTGTTTTGAAAAGTATTTTCCTGTTAAAGTATTGTTTGCATCTTAATTAGTGCTATTAATCTGATTTCACATGTTTTATATGCAATACTTTTTCAGCTGTTTTCTTATATACCAGATATTTATTCAGATCACATTTGTATAGAAGCTTGCATCTTTAGTAAGCCCCTTTTTGCACTAAAATTAGCATAGCCAACTTTCTGTTGTAAATTTTATTTAATCTATATCAGGGAAATTCAGTTACTTAATTACATCAGTTGTCCCTATATGTATACAGCAGTAGATCTTGTCAGTGTTCAGTTTATTTTCTGATCAGTAGCTCACAGATTTTTGTTATTGGTGGGGAGTTAGTACTGCAGTAAATAACTCATCATTTATTATTAATACATTTTTGTAATGTCAGTGGTACCTAGGTATAAGGTGTGCTTATAAAAGCAGATACTCAGGGACTTGTCTAAGAAAAGTATTTTCAAAGTACTCCTTAGTATTAGTCACAGATCTTAATGTGTGTTAAAAAATGTAGATGTAAAAAGATGAGTTATTCTGGAAGAAAACACAGAAATTTTTCAGTTATATTTGTTAGTGTCATACCTGCTGTAACTGGAGTCCAAAACACTGCAATTGCAAGAGGAATTAGCTTTTTTAGAGTATACTGTGAGACTATGCTGAGATCTTCCATGTCCACAAAGTGAAATCCTCAAGGAAAAAAGTGTGGAAGTGACACAGTAGCTGTCTCTTTCTTTCCTACTTACAATATCTCAATACGTGTCCAAGTAGGTAGCTTACCTTCTTAAAAGATGAGGGGTAGTGTGACATGATCCAAGAGTGGCTTACATTGAGACTCTGCAATGGGGCCTTCCCTGTTCCTAACCTCATCTTCATAAGCCTTCCAGTAATTTGTTCCTTTAATGGTCTGTTCTTTCACTAATCATATGCTGTGATATACCCTTACTTCCTTAACTGGAGATGCTGATGTATAACTACTTCTTTGCTGCATTCTAATCCTTGCACACATTCCACTTAATATTGTAGTGCAAGCAAAATTACTTAATGCAAACCATAAAACTAATTAATTCATACCAAATGAAAATCATTAAATGTAAGTCTGCTATGATCTTCATCTTTCAATTTCTTCTTTTTTTTCCCTTATCTAAAACTAAAACTCTTGTTTGGCCACAAGTATCTTATCTTAATGTAAGTTCTTTCAGTTGAATCTCAAGGGTAAAAATAAAAATAGTAAACAGATTTTCTGAAGACCACAAGTATGCTAACAGCTTTGTTTAATTCAGACTCTGCATAAAGAGTTTATATATCTATACATGTACTGAGAAGAAAGTTTAGGGCTGTTGGGATGCATTTAGATTTACATTTTGTTGTTTTCATAGTTTGGTAAAACTTTTCATTAAAAATAATATAGCAGTGCTTGGGAATTAAAAACAGAGCTAGTGTCCATAGTTTTAATATGGGGAGTAGACAGAATTACAAACAGAAAACATCATGCTAGAATATGATTTTTCTGTGATATTTTTCCTTCAAATTTTAACTGATTAATTCATTGTTCAATCCTGATTGTAGGAAGAATACATTTTTTAATATGATGTGGGATATCTCTGGAAGTAGAGTGAAATACAACTGCATTTCTAGCATCTTAAACTTTTATACTGAGCTTCAAGTATTGAAAAGGTATGTTTACCCTGTGAAATACATAGTTCTCTTAAAAGCTTTCCTTTGTTACTGTTTTCTGTTTTTAAGCTATAAAGTGCAAAAATTTGTTCTAGTACAGTATGTGAAGCCCTGTATTATATTTACATGAAGTAGTCTAGGACACTTGACAGTTTTTTTTTTTTTTAATTTTAATTTTGAGTACTTTAAGCTATGGCATCTTAGGCACCAACTTTTCTATGAATACAAAATCTCTGAAAGGTCTTGCAACTCCAGGTTGTAAGCTGGTGTCTAAACATACTGTTATAATAATCTCATCTATTTAGCAATCAAATTGCCTTTCCAGTGTCCTCAGAACTCATGAAGAACTGAAGTATTTGATGGGCTCATTTACAGTGTAGTTGAATCTCAGCTTTTCCTTGTAAGAAAGCTGTTCACTGTACCAAAGCCCAGTTTGGAAATGAGTGATTATTTCATTAGTCTCTGCACGGTATGCAAATTCTTTAGAAATGGCATGAACCTGTGTCAGAATTCTACTGTTCAACCTCTTTAGTACTATAGCACATATGTGGAAGAAATCTTTCATAATTCACTTGAACCTTTTATTCACTTGAACCTTCTTAAGAGACACTTATATTGTTATATGGTAGAGTACCTAATTAAGAAAGCTACCTGTCTGTAACCAAGGCAATAGCAAATGAAGAAAGCTACCAGTAGGCTTATATATTTTGAAATGGAAGAAGTTACTTAATCTCATCAGTTAGGTTATACTTCTAAAGTTCATTTTAAGTAGTGGTAACATTTTCTGTTTGTCAGAGTGGATCTGCTACTGAAGTTGTTTTTACATCATATATTGGGCAGCCTTTTGTCCACAAAACTTATTTTTAACATCACTTCTTTAGGGATTCAACCTCACTATCGCTTTGCCTTGTTTTTCCCTTATTGTCTGATCCATTATTTTAGTGTTGAACTGTAAATTCTGTCTTTCTGGTTATTTCTGTATTATCATTCTTTAATTATTTAGCTTAAAACTTTCACAAGTATGTAAATTTAAAGTTGCATTCTTATGAACCTACATTTAAATGTACAACTGCAGAAGTTTGGATGCTGCAGTCTTTTAAGTATTATTCATTTTGCAGTGAGCATAAAACTGAATGATGCCAGTTACTTTTTTTTGTAGCTTTTTTGTATTATGACATGTCTAATTTTAATGGTTGTATATTATTTTTCCATTACACCTATAATATACCTGAGATCAGTGTCCAGGATGTTTATAGTTTTTCTGTGTTGCTATGAGCTTTATGACTGTGCAGATTTATCGACCCCTAGTGGGTTGTTAGGAAAATGACTGTTATTTTAATAAGTGCTAAATGAAAAATCTGAATATTTTGCAATGATGTATTTTTTCAATGCTCTTTTTCTTCTTTTTGCAGCTGGATTAGCTTCTGAATTTCATTTCTGGTCTTCTGTTTCCTAACTGGGCAGAATTGCCTAATGCAGCAACTTCTATTAATAACATTCACAAAACATGTAGTTAGGTGTCTGCATTTTTAATGAACACTAGCAGCTGTAGCTGATTATTTTTAGATTACAATATAGCATAAATGTAAACAAATAAAGGGTCTTTTGTGCTGTTTAAGGTGGACTTAAGATAGAAAAAGCTAGTAACTTATTGGGCAGTATGATACTATATAAATTAAAGCTAATTCTAAATAATCTGCTCAAGTTTCACTGACCTTTTAGTGCTTAGTAAACAATTATAATTTATTGGTAATATCCTGAAGCCTTCTGTTTTGTAAAATAATCACGCAACACAGTATTTTCATGCTAAAACAGCATGTAAAATATTGCATTTCTAGCAAACTTATAAGCTAATTTTAAATAGCTCTAGTATTTTTAATCATTTAGTTGAGATTGTAATTTCCTGGGAGGTGAAATTATCTCCTAACCATGTTGAGAAAGTTTCTTACAGGCACTTATTTCACATGAACTAAAATTAAGTACTGAATAGTGAATTAACATTTGACTGTTTAATTACCAATAATAAATAAAGTCTGATCAATAATTAGTCTTAAATTGGACTTCACCATAATTCTGCATCTGCTACATGTTTCCAAGTATCAGGATCAGAAATTGAGCCCTACTATAAATAATTTATTTTTATATGCAAGTTTGACACAATAAATAACTTCAGGCTTTTTTGTACATTAAATTTTATGGGCTTTGAGTAGTAAAGTGATGGTTTTGCCAGTTAAATTATTAAATACTCCTTTGAATTTTAAGTATTTTTAAGTTGTTAAGAAAAGTCCAAATATAATTTGACATTTACTAATATTTAGTGTTGCGTTTATTGCATAAACCATATTGTTTAAAGTCAAACTTACACAGCAATCAAAAATGTCAAAAAGACCTCAAATCCATATTTTTCTGGGAGCACCCAGTATTCCAAGCCCACTGGAGGTGTCAGACCAAAGTAGTTCAGCACCTGCTGCTGAAAAATGGAGAGAACTCCGCTGTTTATGTGATGTACATGGTCTTTTTTCTGAAAAAGTCAAAGGTGCTGACCACATAGTGTTTCAGGCAGAAAGCTCTATAATCACAGCAGTTCCTCCAAATGATGAGAGCTCTCAGCAGTCTGGGCAGGGGAGATTAATGGTAGCAAGAGAATATTTGATGTCTCTTGTACCTGTGCCAGTCACTTGTACCAGCACACTTAAAAAGACTGAAAGTTTAATCTATTCTGATTGTCAAATATCTAAAGATAAAGGCACACATGCAAATATAAATTGGGCTGCTGATCAAAACCTTCCTCAAAAATTTGCAGAATCAGCTAGACAGCATAAACAATCACATGACTGTTGTTCAGACCTCATTGAAAGAAAAGCCAGTCAGCTGGAAGTTAATAGCTCTGACATTTCTGATTTGGTTGCCAGTACTAAGCAGATTAGCATACACATAAGGTCTGTGGGACAAGGTGTTAAATCAGATCATAGAAGTGATCATCATGAACACCTAAGTCAATATCTGGATATGTTTTTCCCCCAAAATCAAGGGTCAAATCCAAAAGGAGAACCAGGTGATTGTTCAGACCTTGCAGTGTCAACTGATACTGAATTTCGTAGTATAATGACTTCAAGTCAGATGGCTGTTTTTGCACAGGATCAGTTTGAGATGCAGAAAAGAATCATAAAACTATCAGAAACCGAAGCAGGCAAAAAACCTGAAGAAAGGCAATATGATCACTTCCAATTTGATTCTGGTGTTGGATCATGTCTTAATGTGGCTGAAAATGAATATAAAGAAGAGTATACAAGTTCCCTTGAACTCTTCAGTTCTGAGGACGATGGGAAAAATGTTTGCTTTGAAGCTCCAAAACAAGAAGGAATTGCTCAGGAAAATACAGAAAAGTCTCAAGAACTTTATGTTCCTGCTGAAATCTGTAAGTGAAATCCATATTGAACCATTGAGCTCAGGAATATTGTGCTCTCAAGTAGATGGTTCTTGTAAGAGCTCTTCTAAAAGACCCCGCAAGTGTGAAGATTCACTTCATATTTTTCGCTCAGCACTTAAAAGACAGCTGAAATCAAAGAGAGCTAAACTGAATTCTTCTCCAGCTGGTCCTGGGATGAGAGTGAATCAGGAGAGGATGACAGAGTTCAAGAAACTTCAGAAGAAACTGTCACCACTTAAGGATTGCTGCTGCAAAAATCAGAAGTACAATGTCTTGGTCACAATAGTACATCCTTGTCATATCAAAGAAATACAGGTGAAGACAAGACCAAAATCCTCGTGTAAAGTTCCTGTAGCAACAATTGTAGTTATTGACCAGTCGGAAATTGAGAGAAAGGTGGTACTGTGGCGTGGTGCTGCATTTTGGTCACTCACTGTATTTCCTGGGGATGTTGTACTGCTTACAGGTGAGAATTCCTTTATTTACCTTTTTAAAATGTGGATCTTTAGAATGCTTGTTTAAAGTAGAACAATCTATAACCAATGATTTGGAATTATGGCTAAGCATTTGTAAGTTTCTTTCTTACCTCACTTACATTGCTCAACATCACTCTGAATTCTCAGTCATCCTGCCAGTGGAACATTGACTGTCCCATGGAAGTGTGCCCATCTCTGATGTATAGTCTCTGGTCTGAGGCACAGCAGTGCACTGACACCACAGCAGAGCCAGAGGTAGTCAGGTGTATTCTGTAACCTGTCAGTGTTTTAAAAAACTTGTTCCTGAATGGTACAAGTGCGACTACAAACCAGATGTACTAGTTATTTGATTTATAGGCTTTTTTGTACTTGTCTGCTGTTGGGCCAGTGGATGGACTGGAAAATTGTGATCACACAGAATCACAGAATGTTGGGGATTGGAAGGGACCTCGAAAGATCATCTAGTCCAATCCCCCTGTTCAGTCTCAGGATGAGAAATACTTTTCCTTCTGGGAAGGCCTCTGTAGCTTAGAAGTAGCACCTTGAGATGGATAGTGTTGTGAATTAGTAACTGGCATAGACTGCAGAAATAGAAAATGCTGCTTGCAGTTCACCTTCATAACATGTCAGCTAATAAAGAAGATTCTTCCTGATAAATTCTTTGTACCCTTTAATATCTATAGGAGCCCTCCCTCTTTAAAAGAACATGACATGTAATAACATAGTATTAAAAAAGTGATGTTGCATCTAATTTAGGGCTGGAGTTGACCAGAACTTGATAGTGATTTGGCCATTTATATTTTGCAGTATGCAAAATATTACACAATATAAAGTTGTTTGAATACTACAGTTTAAGATGGCTGTTTCTCTTAAGAGTTCTTTAAGTGCTTATAGGTAGGTACTTTATAGAGATTGAAGTGAGTTTTTTCTTCTCTGCTTAGACATTCTTACCTCAAAATACATCAAAAATGTTTCTGGATAAGCCTGGTACTTTACTGCTCATTCTGAAATGTTGCACAATAATAATTTACCCAATACAGTCACTTATACAGTACCTGCTATGAGGCTATTATTTTATATGAATTGAAGAATTACATCAAACTATTGAGAAAATTTGACTAACTCATTGTAAATGGTATTGGTAGATTAAAAAATAAAAATTCACTTTGTTTCCAAGTGGTCTCTCAGATTGTCTTTCACAGCTGTATGTACGATGGTTCTGTAGTCAAGAAAAGTATGATACATTTCAATATTGTTGATACATGAGTTGATAAGGTTGCTTTTTTCTTTCAGATATAACAATGTATGAGAATCTTTGGTGTGGAGAAATCATGCTGCAATCTACATTTACCAGTCAGTTACTGAATCTGGGCAACTGCTCAGCTCTCAATCCAGAAGAATGTAAGATTACAGTGCATAAGTTTCCACAAAAATCACACTAAAATAGCTATCTAAAGTACTCCATTTTGGCAATGCCTTGTATGCATTGGATAAAATAGAAATGTGAGCAACTGAAAGGTACAGAACACTATAGGAAAGTGTAACGGGAACACCTGTGGACAAGATGTGGACACAGTAACATCGCATAGCCATGTGGACTGTTTGGTAGAGTTGGGTGGTTACCATCCAAAACTGAAAAAACTGAATTCTTTGAGCTTGGTTTAAGAAACAGCAGTTATCCCAGGACTCAGCCATAAGATAGCTGACATTTCTTGAGGATTACATTATTTCTAAAAATTTTAGAGGCTTAAAGAGTAAGTAGATCCATTCAGGGAAAGTAATTCATTGCAGGCTATTAAGCACAAAGTCTTTAAAGATAACTGAGCCATGGAGGGGTTGGAGACTAAGGGAAGAATACAGTGGAAGTATCACCGTGAACCTGCATTGTTCTTACGGGCTTCCTGATGTCCATTATTGCCAGCTATTTAAGGCAGGTTCTGGGGTAAATGATAAAGAATGACTAATCTTACCAAGCTATGATACAAGATTTCTTTCCTATTTTTGTTGTAATTTAAAATACTGTACTTAGCTTAACTTTGGGATGTTATCAAGAGGAGGCAGATGAAGTACAGTTTAATTTTGGATCAAGTGTTACATATCTTAAGAATTTCTTGTCTTAGAATTATTGTGAAACTGCTTTGATTTTGTCATTATAAATACGTCCCAACTGATAATTTTTATATTTCTAAGCTTAAAAAAAAAAAAGGTGGTGTCCCTTTAACTTTATTTTTTCATATAAGTTTATCCTATAGTGGATGGTGATGTTCTCCATGGTTTATTGGCATACGTATCATCAGAATTTCCGCACTTTGGAGACATTCCACGAAGACAAGTTCAGAGACTGGATAGTGTTCAGTATATGGAGCTAGACCAGCTCCAGCCAAATACATTGGTCCACTCAATCTTGAAAATTATAAACATTGCCACATTAACAGGTAAGTTCAGACATTAGAATTCAACTTCCAGTACTTCAATAATAAGTGAAACTGAAATAGTAATTTTGCAAGGCAATTCGGGTTGTTTCCCATTCCATACACCAGTGTTTGACATAGGAGTCACAAGTAAAACCTTTATAATGATCCACTCATGGGGAGCAGAGCAGTAAGAGAAATGGAGTTAGAGACAGGAAGGAAATAACTACTGTAGTCAGCTGCTGAAAGGAGGTTACTGCATGCTAGTGCTGATAATAGTATATATGTCTGTGGGAGAAGCATGCAGGCAGTGGGCATTGATAATTGGTGTCACTACTTGCTGAGGGATTGGTGTGTTTTCACTAAGGAATGAGCACTCACCTCAGATTGCAGTTACTAATATGCTAACTTGTCATGAGGCAGCTTGAGCTCCACAGCTCCAAATAGTGTGGTACCTGATCTTCAGTAAGGTGGAGGATTGAAGAGAGATGCAGGTATGAAGTATAGTGTTGGGAAGTGGAATGCCAGCAAAAAAAATACAAGGAATGTGGGCTTGAGATCGTTTTTAGGGCAGATAGGTGTGTATAGCAGGAGTGCTGAAAAGAGGGAGATGCTGCAGTTAAGATGGAGGAACATAAGTATGCTTTTTAATGACTCTTGAGTATGTTCTTGCTGTAAACCACTGTTTAAAAATGGGGGCTGGTTTATTACGAGGGAAATGCTGCAGTTAAGATGGAGGAACATAAATATGCTTTTTAATGGCTCTTGAGATTAGAGAAGTATGTTCTTGCTGTAAACCACTGTTTAAAAATGGGGGCTGGTTTATTAAAATGTTATGTGGGACAGTCAAGCTTTACTAATTCAAAGCTCACCTGCCAACTACCTTCCATATAAGACTCCTGTCATTAAAGGAAAATTTGATTGCACTATAAATCATGATTTTTAGAATAAAATAAGTTATCAGTTATTTTAATCTACTGTTTAGGAGTTGCTTGCCTTTCTTACTTTATAATGGAACTGTGTTGTTCTTTTCTACTGCTTTATTCAGAAAATTTCTTGTTAATTTCTTTCCATTTTTTCCTACTTAGAACAGATTTTTAAGCATTGCTGGTTTCTTAAATACATGCAATATTTATTTATAATAATCCTTACTTGCATGCCTTTTTATACTACTTTTTGATTCTCAACACTGGAAAATATACAGTGTGAAACTACTAAGATGCCTTACTGTGATACTCCTAATTCTTCTGCATAGGCACAACAGAGAACTACCTCATAAATATAATTGTCTTAGAAATATGAATTTTCTGTACTTTTGATTGTAAAGACTCCTGTCCCCCAAAGAGTCGTGTCCATGTACTGATTTTTGAGTTTATTCTTCTGTCACACATTCCATTTCTTCTAGTAGCGAATGCAGTTATTTGAAGATTCCTCTTGCTGAAGCAATTTTCCATGTTAAAATTGATAATTTGGTTCCATTTTTTCATAATCAGGCCTTACAGCTGGTTCCTAGCATCTTCTCCATCTTTTGTAATGAACAAAACCAAATTAGTCTCAGTATTTTGTACAGTGTCTTGTCATATTTTTAACATGCTTTGGGCAGTTGAAAGAGCACTATTCCCACCTGGAAAAGGAGTCTTCCTCTCTTTTCCCTGCATAACAGTTCTGATTATCTGTCTTTATTGTATGAGTGTTTCTCAGTGCTTGACTTCAAACTTTGCACAGAAGTTTGATTATATCACACTTATCTTGTATTAGTAAGATTCAAATTTTTATTAATTATAAATGGAGAATTTTGAAGATAGAAATCTTCTGAGATTTATGTACAATAATAAATTATGAACTGTTAGATATTTAAAGCAAGAGTTCTTGTTAAAAAAATCATTTTTTATAGAAAAATATTGTAGTTTTACTGTGGAACTGAAACTTACAGGCAGTATCCTTGGTAAGAGTGTTGTAGAAATCTTAATTGCTTCAATTTATGTATACAGTTACTAATCCTCTTAGTGTGCTTATACATTACTATAGTTTTTGTTTATGTAAAAACTTTTAGAGCAATGTTTCTTTCAATGCATTCCACAAGTTACCTCCACTTATGACAATCTGTTGCTGAGGGATTGAGTAAAATTTCTTTCCACTTACATCAGTGTGGATGAGTGGGAGCTGAAAGATGCTCAGATACCTGCTGTTTCAAAGGGAGATGTCCAGTTAGTGAGTATTTCGGTGGTTAAAGGTAAATTAATACACTTCATGTATTCTTTCAAACTAGAGTCACAATGTTGAAGAAATCAGATTGCTATCATGCTGCTATCATATTTTAGAGTACAATTATAAGCAAACAAGAATACACCTATAATTTCTTCAGGACAGAATGAAAGCAATCTTAATATTGAGGCATGTGGGTTTTGTGTGTTTATATGCTTTTTACCACAGAAGTCATATAACTTCAAAATTTTTCAGAATCTGTGTATAGCTACAGAGGTGGCAAGCAAAGAAAAATTATTCTAACAGTGGAACAGAACAGAGATCAACACTATAGAATGGTGCTGTGGGGAGCAGGGGCTGCATGGTGCCCTCAGCTTCAAAGGAAAAAAGGTAAAATCCTTGTACCTATAGGTAGCTCTAAAAGGATTTTTATTATGCTATTAACATCTTGAAAATGCTCAGCTGGTAACATGTCATTTCTGTTTAGGTACAGTGCCATCAGCAGTAGAATTTGAATGCCCTCACTATAGAAGGCTGAGAAAGCATTAATATTTAGAAACTTGAATCTAGACACGAGACATACTGGTGCCTAGCTATGTAACTATGGGAAAAAAAAACCAACAAAACAACAAAAACTTGAGTGTTAACTATGTTACCAGTTTTGCTGAGTCTTCCTTATTGATGTCTAGATTAGCATGGATTGCTGGGATTTTTTCTAATTCTGATTTTCATTCTCTGCTTTCTGCCTACTACAGTGTCAGGCCTTATATCCTAACGGTCTTGCTGTCAAGTCTAGCTGTAACCGACTAAAAGTATCTCTTGCAAGAATTACATAGCCTGTGTTTTAGCAGTGACTACTACCTTTTTTTATTCCTGGCTTTGCTCTTTTAAAATAAATGAAACTAGGTTTTTGTTAAATTGCTAACTTAAAGAGTTTGTATTTCTGATCAGTGGATACACTTAAGAAGTAAATGCTGTATTACTTGAAGCTCTGAATATGTCTGCCTAAAAAGCCAGTTTTTGTATAGTGCACAGTAAAACCCAGTAAGGTTAAACAACTTTGTAGTGAATCTTTATCTATTAAATGTAGACACTCTGAATGCTGACAATTCCACTTCAATTTATAAGTAATCTTCACTCCTAGAAATCATTTAACTGCAAGACTTACCTCTTAAACTACTTGAAGATGGTCTAATTTAAGCATTAATCAATTAACTTCACAAATAATACCTACATGGCTCTTATGTCTGTGCATATTCAGTGTGAGCAGGTCGATAGTGTTTGTTAGATGCTTAGAAATCTTACACAATTTACTATGCTAGTATATTACACTTTTCAAAATACAGAATTTTAAAACTTATTATAGTGCAAAAAGAAGATACCAAAGGTAATTTCTAAGATACAATAATAGATCAGTCTCTGATGCTTAAAGCAGAAAAGTATAAGATGTAGATCTCTCTAATATGAAGTATTTATATTTGAGGTAAAGCTTGTCTTATTCTCCAGCTAGTGTTCTGTGCATCTGGCACTTGGCATTTTAACAATCATAGGATTACCTGAAATTCAAAATAAGAGTGATTTCTCAACTGTTCAAATACTTACTCACAGATAAACCACGAACATGTGATCCCAGTAAGATAGCCAAAAAGAGAAATTCACATGATACTAAAGCATATACAACAGCTAAATAGCACAAGTGGGTTACAGGAAGAACACGATGTCCATCCTTGCTAGGAGTCACAGCACACCCCTAGTGTGTGTTTACTGGTTGTACGAGCAGATTAGGAACTTCATAGTCTTGTAGAGGAAAGTATGAAGACTTGTAATTTTTAAACTGTCTACTTAAAATAGTTAAAGTGCAGAAGACTCTATGAAGTTCTAGAGCATCTAAAAATTGTTGCCAGTAAAAGTTAATTTTATTTTTCATCTCTTGCTAAAACTCTGTCCAAGCTTCCGTAGTCATCAGACATTCAGTTCATGCCTTACACTCATCTGGTTTAGATTACCAAGAAAATAAAGATTTATTTAATTAAATACATTTCTGTAAACTTGATTACTTATAGTTTACTCATGTTTTGCAGTCAGTTTTCTTATCAACAGGGGAGTGTTGAAGATCTGAATAATAGGTTAAATTCAGATATCGGTTCTAAGTCTTGCACCTTAGTTGGACTGTGTCCTCTACTTCCATATATCCCTTTTTGCCAAGTACATGCTTGTTTCCTCCTGTTTACATTTTCCCTCAGTGTTGCTGTAGTGTTACTGCCTGAATTTTGCTTTGGAACTGGAGCACACTCAATTTTGAGGGGGTTGCAAGATCTCTTGTCAGATATGAGGTGCATGAAACTAGACTGATTTTCACAGGATACGTTTTTTTAAAGTATTTTACTGTAAAACATTGTCTGCAGATTTTTCAGGAGCTTGCAATTTTTAGCAAGTTACCATCAAAAATCAGACTAATATAAAATATGACTGCTAAAACATGCTAATAAAATGCTTATATGGACACTTGAATACATTTTTTTAAAAACAAAAAAAAAAGCTCTTTTCTAACCTTATTTCCAAAAAAGATTCTTTTGGCTGCAACTTTCAGCTTGAGCAAACACAGAAGAAAATAGCAGCAAAAAAAAAAAATAAAAAAAATTAACACTTGTAACAAAGTGAAGGACAATCCAAAATATACCAGTCTTCTGTAATCTCCATTTTTGAAGCTTATTTTCTTTATTAGAGTCAATTGAAAGATGGAAAATGAATTAGTATTTTTAAATAGCCCATTATGGAGCTAGAGGATTAAAAAACATATTAAAGATGGAAGTTTATTAATAATGTGAAGATTTCTTTCTTCTAGATATTGACAACTTTGCCTTATTATTGCTGACAAATTTCAGAACTGGTTTCTGTTTCAAGCAGTTGAGTTGTCTTGAAAGCTGAACTCAAGTACAGTTGAAATGAAAGCATCATGTGTTATGGGAGGACTCATGCAAAGTTTATAGGGAAAGGAAAGAAAAAACTCTACATGCTTGAAATAAAGTGGCCAGAGCTGACCACATGAGAATGTCTTGCTGACTTGTTTTTCAGTCTTCTGAGTGACCTTGGCTTTCTATAAACTAACCAAGGTATAGAAAGTAAACTCTTCTGTTTGCTTTTTTGTTCTGTAGATCACATATGGGACTTTAAATACCTTCTGGCCCAACGCAGTTCTGTCTCGGGTGAGTTTGAACTGCACACAACTCCATGGTCATCCTATGAGTGCTTGTTTGATGATGACAAAAGGGCAATTGAATTTAAAGAAAAGTTCCAGAAAAGCAAAACATCCCTGATGCAGATGACAAAGCTCTCAGCACATTTGGAGGAAAAATGCTCAGGTAAAGTTACTATCCGTAGCTATGGAGTGTCTTTTGTGCAGTGCATAATTAAGCAAAACAGTCGCTTTGTTGATCAAGTAAAATGTTGTGGGGTGGGTTTTGTGGGGTTTTGTTTTGTTATTTAAGTTAGCACGGTTCTGGGAGTCTGAATTTATTCTGAAGGCTGCTGCTCAATACCCAGCCAAACTCTGAATACAGCCTTCATTCAGTGAGCCCAGAGGTGAGATGAGTGTGGTATGTGGTTACCATACAAAGATAAGCTTTGAAACACAGGGAGCAATGCTGCCTTTTGTTTTCCACACCAACCAGTCTAGTAATGATGGGTTTCATCACTGAAAGCTTGTCTAACAGTATTCCTCCAAAACTAGAATTCTCTAAAGCAAGAGTTAAATACTGCTATTGAAAACTTCTTAAAAAAAAAACCCCAAAGAATACATTTTAAACAAACAGTCACCCCCTCCCAGACAAACCTAGATGATTGCTAAGGTTGATCTTAAACATTAAGAAGTAACTAAAAGTTGGTATTGTAGCATTTAACTCTAGTTTATGTTTAAATAGTGGAAAGCTAAAGAAAGGAGATAGACTGGTGGACTCGGGCCCTCCCATCCCTGAGGCAAAGGCAACAGGCCCCAGCACAAGATCCCCTATCCTCTTGCCACCAGGTAAGAGGAGGGGACCCAAGAGGCAGTGGGGAATGGAAACAGGTCCCTCCTCAGAGAGGCCCGGGAGGGAGGCAGATCTTGTGCTGGCCTCCCTTGCCCCCCCAGTTACTGCTGCACAACAGGTAAGGGGCTTTGGAAACTAAGAGTCAGGAGAGTGAGGATGGAAAGGAAGATCCACCCAGGAAGACATCCAGGGTGAGTCAGTCACCCCACAGCTCAGGACTAGTTCAATCAAGAAAAAAGGAAGGTAATTGTGGTAGGTAATTCCCTTCTGAGGGGAACTGAGGGCCCCATATGTCGACCAGATCCCTCCCACAGGGAAGTCTGCTGCCTCCCTGGGGCCCAGGTTAGGGATATTAGTAAGACCCTCCCTGGCCTGGTGCAGCCCTCAGACTACTATCCATTTTTGGTCATACAAGCTGGTAGTGATGAGATTACAGAGAAAAAGTCCAAAAACGATTAAAAAAGGCTTCAGGTCATTAGGGAGACTACCTGTGCACCTGATCCTGCAACCAATTTTTTCCTCAATCCCTTCAGTGGCAGGG